TGGCATGATTTCGAATGAGACGTTTCTCTCTTTTCTCCCATATTCTCCTGTTACTCTTTCGCATTCATCGCTTGCATTCACTTTTTATGTTTGTGAGCTCTCTCTTCAAAAATAAATGGTAAAATGTAGCGCTGTTCTTCACCACGAGTTTGGCAAAAACGGCCCACCAGCAGCAAGCACCATAAGGATCGCATGCTCTTCAAAAATAAATGGTAAAATGTAGCGCTGTTCTTCACCACGAGTTTGGCAAAAACGGCCCACCAGCAGCAAGCACCCACAATAAGGATCGCCATCACTAAAGAGTGAACCCTTTCTGATCAGAAATAAGACGTATGACTATATTAGCGAAGCATTTTCACATAAAAATCCGTTGATTGGGAAGCGCGGTGAATAACTTTTTAGACGGCAAAAAACGAAAAGGAGTCCCCAGTTGTGCAGAACAGGGTCATTTTTGATCAATTGGAAAATGTTTGGAACCGACTGAGAAGTCATCGTTTCAGAAGAGCTTGATAAACAATCGGTAGTTTTTATTTGGGCAACGTTTCGCTTTTGACACAAAAGCTTCATCAGGCCAAGTGAGCAGGTTAACAAATTGGCTAGGTTATAAGGCAGACGGGGAACCAATCAGTAAGTAAACCCTCTTCGGATTTTCACACTAGATCCGTGTTGACTGTCAATTAATAGCTCTTATCGGTTAGTGAAGTTGTCAAAATCTTGCTTTGGTGGATTGGGGGGAGGGGGGTCAAATTAATTCTGACTGGGTTTGGTTCATTAATCTTCCGCTTCAGGGTTCTTCAGTTGATGATTCATCTCGGTTGCCACTGGTTGATTTTTCCTGGTCTTTGTGGGGTCGTGAGTGCTCCGACAGTTTGGTTTGAGGGGGTTGAGGTCAAGTGGACTTCAGGTGATGACCACTCTTCCTTCTGATGACCGCACACCAACACGTGTCAGCTCGACTGATCCAGAACCGTCCTCCACACGCTTGCCAGTTCCACACCTTCTATTCTATTAACACTGGGGTGCTTGGCGATTTCTACTGCCTCGGCGATCAGTCTGTGTGGCGTGGACCGTAGTCCTCGCCTCAAACCCTCAACATTTTCTAAATCTATTTTGTGTCCCGTGTCAAGTGAGTGTCCGCAATCGCCGAGTCTTTCAGTAACGCTTGATATTCATCTGCGTTCCTCGGCGGCCTGTTTATTTTTCTCTTATGCTCTCCGACTCTGATGTGTAGTTCCCTGGCCGTCTGTCCTATGTAAACTTTGGTGCAGTCATTACACTTAATTTTGTAGACACAGTCCCTGGTTCTGTTTGCCGGGAGGCGATCCTTCAATTGCACCAGTGCAGAGCGCAGAGTGTTCCGCCTCTGGAAAGCTACTCTTATGTTGGCCGTGTTTAGAATTCTTCGAATTACCTCCGATGTCCCTGGTTTGTATGGAATAACAGCTGTCCCGATCCATTCCCTGTTTGGTTTCGCTACCGGTACCAGCACCCTTCACAATTGACGCCTTATCAAGCTGGCTGGATATCCACTACGCTGAAGTTTGTTCTTTACCTCAATTTGGGCCGCTGTCCGATCAGCTTCTTCATTTTTGAACTCATTGATGCAAAAGACCATTGCGAATGTTATGCGACAGCAGCAAGAAATCCACAATTTCTCGGACTAAGGCCAAATCTGTAGAGGCTTCACCGAGTGGATACTTTATTTTAGTCGGGGGAACTTAGAAACTGAGACAGCTCTGAGCCCAATGATACCGTGAGGATGTTTGAAAATTTTCAACCAATGTTATCTCCTGAGAGTGAGACCAATCTATGCCAAAAAGTCGAAGAAGCAATGTACATCTCTCTCGTCCTTCTTGAGAATGCCAAATAGTGCGCATCCCATGAATCTCAGTGAGTTTCGAACCCACGACCTCCCGGTCAGTGGTTGAACACTTAACTGTTTGGTCACGAGCGGATGATCAGCAAAGTCATTGATGCTGTACAATGCTTCTCAGCATATATTGGCTTCATGGACAAATGAAATTTCTATGTAAAAATCCTGAGTCTCCTTGGTTCCGCTTCACCTTTTAGAAGGAACACCGTAACAAGATACATTGTATAAAAGATATTCACGTAACGAATTTGGAAGAAATCGCGACCTACCTATGAACTTCTGTTCAGCGCGACGGTGTGAAGATAGCTTATCTTTTCCAGCATATCCATTCGCCTTGGATTCGCGACGGCGACCGGATGCTTCGGGTGGAGGAGGATGTCGTGTTTTCGGTTCCCGTTTGCTTCCACGTCCTGAAAACAGAAAAAACGCGCTGTGACATTCATGGTGGCGTACAACAGTCTGTTTGTCATTCATGAACCCATTTGCCGAGCCTAAATGCGCCCAAATGTAGACACAGACCAAAGCTTAATGGTGGAGCGAAGAGAAAATGAACATGTCTCATCGGTACAGCATGTCGTTGCAAAAAGTAGCGTCCTACGCGTTCTCCGCAATAGGTTTCAATGATCGGTTAGCTGTAGCCTTGCGCCAAGTGTAGAATTTGCTTAAAATCTCCACTGATCGATGGACTTGATCATCGGCGCGTAACTTCCTCTGCTAGAGCTGAAAGTTCACCAGCTTATCCAAGGTTCTTCCTTTTACTGGACGGATTTTGACCAACTGTTACAGTACTATACATAGACGGGAGATTTCCAATTACTCCAATTGTCCCAATCCTAATCCCCTTTTTGCTGCTGACCCAGCTTTAATCACTTAGTTCCAGTCTACAACCTGAGTAGATCACATCGATCAACTGTCAGACTGGTTTAGCGATGTTTTGCTGGACCCATCAGTCTCGCTAAGCCAATGACCTGCTAAAACGCGTCTCGCCCTTCGCCTGTTTCAACCAACCAGTTCCTGAACTTTGTTACTGGCCCCACTCTTGTGACGGCACCCAAACAGGAGAACTTGAATTCTACCCAGCACTCAGTCGCCCGCATCTCAAAAACTGTCCAGCGGGATTCGAGAGTCTGTGGGGCTACCTGGGTGAATCGATCGACACAACCAGGACAGTTGCTGGGACAAACCAATCACGTCACTCAAGCGTGAACACGTTCGTCTGTTGCGATTTGATAACTCGGGTGCGCACAGGATGCGCTAGCAACATGTTCGCCTCGCATGTCTGACGTCCGGACTTCAAACCGCGGCACGGCCAAGGTTATGCACTGCTGATGTGATGAACTCTTTGTATCATTCTTGCATGCACCGCACTGTCACTCGGTTTTGGGGGGTTTTCGACTCGCATATTCTCCATATTCTTGTCGTTTGATAACCCATGTTACTTTAGCACCTGCCCGGTTCCAACAGCAGTGGTCCAACAGTATCATTTCCTCTAACTTTAGACAATAAAATACGAACTGTATTTATCGGACGTATACTACATATCTGATGCGATCTGTTTACCCCTGTAAGCGATAGGGAGATTTTGAAGTTTGACCTAGAATTCTACCTTGCACTTGAAGTTGTTTTATGCTGAAAAGCGGAAAGCGCTATGCAGTTGTTTCATTCTTGTCGAAAAACACCGGAAGTGAGCACTGTATGGATCACTAAACAGATTCGAACTTACGCTTCAATTTGGTAGTTGGGCACCATACGACTCTGTCACGGGTGGCTGTCCAGCAGTCTTACCACTGTTGACAAAGTTAGATGAATATATATCCAAAACCCTTCCATGCTTCCGTGGGAACTTTGATGACTCTCCTTGTTTCGTCTCAACGAATGTAATTTGTATATAGTTTAAATATACCCTATCGATCAGATTTAGAAGTAGTTTACGATAAATACTCTGATAGGACCAACCGTTACCAAGGTCAGTCGTACATATCGATCGACCGCTTGTGGCTGAGTGGCACAGTGTTCAACTACCAACGGAAGGTTGTTGATTCGAGTCTGAGAGATGTTCACTGAAAATTCTATTATACTAAGTATCAATTTTGTACGCGATATGGTAATCTCAAACTCTCATGTGAACGAATCCAGTAGACACCCAGTGGATCAATCGGCCAAAAAGTTCCGACAGAGATCAGTTAGTGAACAGGGCATACCAGAACGTTGCTCATCCGTTTCCCGTGTTTTTTTCGAAGCTACATCCCGTTCCCTTCTACTTCCGTCTGTTGGACCGAAGAAGCCACCCACGATATCCTCGGAAGGTATGGGAAATGCTTCCCCTTGTTTTCTTCCACTACCAGAATCTGGTAATCCACGATCAGTCTGAGCTTCAGTGCGATCGGTCAGTTTCGTCCCGCGTTTCCCTCTGTCATCAATTAGCTGTTGATCATCTGATTGTCCGGAGGCAGTCATCTCACGACGTTTCGAGGCTCCTGGATGATCACGACCATTTTGGATAGGTGATGTACGCTCATCTGCCAGGACAAACCATGTGAAAGAAAGCACAGGGTAATGCCTGTTCCAAGCAAACTTATAAATGTTTGGTAAACGACAGTCCACCGAGTCTTACTAGGATTTGAACTACTTGTAGAACAATCCGTGGATTATTCATAAACTCAAGCATGATTCTGAATAGATTGCATATGTGAGAACAGGTACTGTACTGGCGTCGGCTTGCCGAAAGTGAATTTTATCCCTAGAAGTACCACAGAGGAACCAAAGTGAACTCATCAGACGGAGCAAACAGGATCTATCGCACCACTGTTAGCCTTTCGTGCCAACCGAGTGTTGCTGCGGTAAACCAAGGAATACGCGACCAATCATACCGAACCCACGTGATGAATTCCATTCAGACTGAGACGGACTGCTTTTCGGGAATGCCCGCCTTCTGTCTTCATAACCAGCATCATCTAGTTTATGTCCCAATGACTCCATGATTACCATGAGCTTTAGGGATAACACTTGGCTATTCTCATTTACTTCATCCGTTTGACCAAGAAAATAACAAACTAGGACCGTTCAGAACACAAGTTGACGAATATTAGTGCTTTCGTGATCTCTTCTCGTCAATACAAATCGAAACTAGAAACGTGCTACCCCCGCAAGTAAAACAAGGATAAAGTGGAGTCAGCGAGTAAATTGTGAAAATTGTTTACATAGCGATCGATTAACCTGAGTGGACAGCGGTCACGTGAGCGGACCGTGGAAGACTGAATGTGCGAACAAACTCTTTCTGATTGAACAGATTCGGGTTTTGGGAGTGAATTGCGATTGTCTCAGCTGTGGTCCGGCATTGATACTGAGTGGATTATGGTAGATAGATAGGCGCTTGGTACAGTATTCGGAAAGCATCGTCAGAATTAATCACATGACTCGCACCAGCCAACTGAGCGACCATGGTGCTAGTATTGGACCTCCTTGATCAGCCAAAATGGGTTACGTTCCTTTATTCTTTTGCACAGCTGCTGTGTAGTGCTGTACAACAGCAGGTGAAGGAGTGAACTACGACATTCTGAGCGTGGACGGGCAGCTTATCGATCGTGCCGTGAACAGACCTTTACCTGTAGGCTCCACTTTATCTTTGTTTCTTTATTTGTCACTCGCTTTCGAGTTTTCTAGTTTCTCAATCTACACTGACCAGAAGAAGGGATCGCAAAAATATTAATGTCAAAATGTCTGTTATGCAAAACTAGGAGGAATAGGAAAATAATACGCGGAATGTTTGGGTGCTCGGAACAGGCCAGATAAAATTTTTGTTGACCACGTTGATACTGAAGCGCGACCAAATGTTGAGCAGGTGGAAGACTAGCGATAGGTGTATTTTTCTTGTTAACTTCCAACCTGTAGTTGGGGCTGATACCTGACAACAAACCATCAAATATATTTTTTTACCATCACGAATTCCTTTCACACAACACGGTGGGGCAGCAATGGTTGCAAGTCTTTGATGTATTCTGAAGGTTAAAAATGTAGATTTTCAAAACTAAAGAGGTGAACGTGCAAGCAAAAAGAACTTAGGGAGATAATCTATTTGGGGATCGAGCAACAGAAGAACCACATCTATTGGACTTTCGAGGAGCTGTGGTAAGTGCAAATTCGGAGTTCGAAGTATTTCAAGTCTGTTTAGTCTTTCTTAGTCTTTCTCTGCTTCGCCATTTAGTTCGAATATGTTAACCCAGCTCCTGAGTATCTGCACTCCACGATTTCGATTTAATCGTTTGCCAAATTCTGATTCACTGTCGGAGTGGACAACCATGCGGCAGACAACCGATAGGATTGATCACGCGATGAAATAACAATACGTAAATCTATGTGTTTTCTGCTAAGTATGATTTTGCAGCCGTGAAGTAATTTATGCTGTCCATTGGGGAACCGAAGGGAACAAACAACAACACCATCAATAACCTGTAGAAGTCCGAGAAGCTTAAGAGAAACAGAATGATCGGAAGTTAAGTCAGAATGCGCATTCATCCAAATGATGGGGGAGTTGGGCCTCTAGTTTACCATTCGCTGGCCGTGAATGCCCCAATAGGTCCACTCAACAACAAACCATTTACCAAATCACAGCGAAGCGACACTTCGATAGAGCGGATGGTCACCTCTCGGCTGCTATCTTTATGTATGTCTCAGCAACTACGGTCACTGCAGGAGGCACAGATGTGGGAACCATCGATTGCGTGGCGTATTGGTGAGACGCGTCATGCGCTCGGTTCACTTAATATTTCACATATTGAAGCAGTGGCCGAAACTTTGCGCATAGGGCTTGATGGAACTGACCGTGCCCGCCTTACCCTTCCTCTGTGTGCTTCAAAGTTGCTTGTTGCCATGTTAGTAATGTTGGTGATCAATGGAAGCAGTCCGGGTCAGCGAGACGCGGAGATCACTGCCATGGCTCAGCCCAGGGTCTCCTGACCTTGTCCTCGCTGACCTTGTCCAGCGGCCACGAGTTCGGTCGTCCAATTACAGGCAGCGACCTCGTCGGCATTCACTGATTCGATAGTTGATGCCGATACAGACAGGCGAGGAGGACGTTCCATCGGCGTAGGCTGAAGTCTACGCGTGTGTCCGTCCGTCTATCACAACAAATGATCTTGTAGCTGATTGGCCGACGCTGAAATCAGCCAAACCGTCAGTTAGCTGGATTTTATAATGGGTTGCGCACTCTTGATCGTCCTGTGCACGGTCGGTCTAGTCAACGCGATGGCTCTCCTGCCGAACCAACCCGCACCGGAGTTTTCAGGAATGGCAGTAGTTAATGGCGAATTCAAGAATATCAGCCTAAAGGATTACCGTGGAAAATACGTCATTTTGCTGTTCTACCCACTGGATTTGTGAGTTCGATTTTGACTTTGTGGATGCCACCCAGTTAACAGCCTTGCGTTGACTCCACAGCGGTAATAACTAGCATGTGATGGACAGGGGACGTTTTGTTCCTTTGAGTTAGTTACATCCACATTCTCATGGGCATTTCGACTTTGAACGGGGTTAGCAGTTTAATTACGGAAGAGTGGGTGCTCGGTGACATGCATTGACGGAACATTACAAAGTTGGATCTGAAAGTTCATTCTTTCCATATTGTTATTCACTCAGTAGTTCATGAGGTATTTTTTCTGGTGTCATCGTCCGGTTTCTTGAGAGCCTCCAAAGCTGGTCAGGGTTGTGACGTTTCCGCGGTCAAACTCGCTGTTCCGCAAATGGGCACTGTTGAGTAACTGGGTGTAGTTGCCGGCGTTTATCACCATTTCGAATTCCGATTCTTCGCTGCTTTGTCTGTTTAGGGTTGGTCAATGACCCGGACTAAATTAGCCCACACAAACCGCTTGTTTGGACCGTGCGTGTTTGTCCAAAAGGCAGCGAATGTCCATCCAATGAAGGTAGTTTGTAGATATTACGGATGACTTTGGTTGCTGTCTTCTGTTTATCTCTCATGCGACTAGGCTGACAGCGGGTCCTGTTTACCCTCGTCTACCACTTATGCGTAGTAAAAATGCACTGAGGCACGAGTGTGCATACTTCCTTCTGTTAACTAAGAAGGCTCTCGGGGACTAATCCCCTTTTGTGCCCTGTTGTTCGCTTAGGTTAATTAATTTGGTTCTAATTAACCAGTGGTTTGACTCCTCTGAGGATCTGTTCCGCTGGTCTAGAGGGTCCCCACGCTTTTTCCCCTAGAGTCCTATCACGTCTCATCCAGCTGGTTTGGACGCGCCTAGATCCGTGCTTCTTGGATGTACAACTTTAGGCCTGCGGTGTAAGTGGGCTGTTCATTGATACCCTCGTTTTATGGAACTCGCAGGCAGTTTTAGGAATGTGTTCAGCTTCGGAATTAGTTTTAGATCTCGTACCTAGAAAATAATCGTCCAGCTGTAGCATTTTATCGGTGCTTAACTGCCATGTCACCTGAAGGAAGCACGGGGGCTGAGATACTGTCATGTTGCCCGAGCCTAGACGAGAGTCAAGACGCAGAGGTCGATAAATAATTAAAGACAATCGTTCAGCTGGAACAGCCTTTCGGTGCCTAGCTGTCGTGCCACCCGAAGGAATCGCGAGGGCTGGGATACTGCCAGGTTGCCCAAGCCTAGACAGGTGAAGTCGAGAGTTAGAAGTCGGTTTCGAATCACGGATCTTCCGGTCAGTAAATTCACACTCCCGCCTTCTGGCTAGTGAATATGTGCCTTTACCACTGAGCTATCTCGAAATTGAGGTACAATTACTGGGCCGCCCAGCATGATGGTTACTTTACATATATCTGAAAAGAGACCGCATATTTGATTTCGAAGAACTGTGTTCAGGAAATCTTCTCACTGAGGAGTCTGTTTGCGTAACCACCTGAGATGCAAGTCAGTTTGGAAAGATAACATAGTCTCCTCACTGCCAGTGCCGTTCGTACTGATAGGGCAGTGAATGAATCACAGTGCGTCATTACATTACTTTAGGCTGAAACCGATGTTAATACCGGTGTGTCTCCGTTGGTAGTAATACATCTTCACATTGCTGTTTGCGCGTTTCAGCACGTTCGTCTGCCCAACAGAGTTGATTGCTTTCAGCGATGCTGCTGAAGAGTTCAAGTCCAAAAACTGCGTGATTATAGGTTGTTCCACGGACTCTGTCTATGCACACCTGCAATGGACCAAGATGGATAGGAAGGCTGGTGGCCTGGGAAAGATGAACATTCCCCTTTTGTCGGATAAGAACATGAAGATTTCTCGCGCATACCATGTGCTGGACGAGGAAGAGGGACACGCATTTCGGTAGGTGTTTGACTTTTAACATTCCGGTATTTTCTCACTTAGCTTGGCTCTACCACTAATTCATGGTTTCCTTTTGTCTTTTAGAGGGCAATTCTTAATTGACCCGAAGGGCATTTTGCGTCAGATAACTGTCAATGATCGTCCAGTTGGTCGTTCTGTTGAAGAAGCAATCCGCTTGTTGGAAGCCTTTCATTTCCACGATCAACATGGCGATGTGTGTCCAGCGAATTGGAAGCCGAAGGGCAAGACTATGAAGGCAGACCCGGTCGGCGCCCAGGAGTATTTCTCGTCCGTTAACTAGATTCCTCCTGGACATTCTTTATCTTTTTCGAACAGTAATGTACGAAACATGTAAAATCACTTATTATATTTCTTTTGGTAACAGGTCACAGATATTCCATCTATGCATGGGTTCTCAGGGTTGGTTGGTCTTTGTTGTGTGACAGGAAGTTGGAAAGAGCGTTTCCCGGCCTCTGTTGGTCGCCTTTGCGTTGATGTGCATATACGGTTAATTTCCTCAGCGAAGTGATGACACGGTTGTGATATCCTGCGCGCGTCCGCTCCATCTTCGCTGTAGCTGCTCCCAAAGAATGTGACTGTTGGTCATCCAACGGTGGTTCATCTGGGGGTTGCTAGGATTGTCAGCATGTCAAACCGAAAAGTCAGTCCGCTGAACTCCCCTGGGTGAAAGGGCACTGCTGTGGCGTCTGCGGAGTAGGTACAATGACTGCCGTTGCCCCTAGAACCGCTTGTTCCAGTCGCTCTTGAGATTTCATTTGATTGGTAAGACCTCTGCTTATCGCCGTTCTTGTGGCTTGTATCTAAGCCAACGGAACTACTTCTGGGGTATAATTCAAAGAATTGTTCCTTTCCTGCCACTCCGTTTAGTTGCACAAGAATTGCCGAGTGTTGCTTATGCCATCTGTCCGGTGAAATTTTCTGCAGGCATGTATTTGTGTCGAAGCCAACGGTCCTCATGGCCTTGCTGTTCCAACCGGTAGACTGAGTGAAATGTTACCTACCCAAGTAGTGTTCCCTGCAGAACTATGAAATCAGACATCCTTTGGGTGATCAGACGGGAGCGGTCGTTGCGGGATGAGGGTTGCGGCTTGGTAACAGTCTAGTATGCTATACTGATGGGTGTTCGACTCAATGCGACCTCAGTTAGGCTGCCCTACGTTGCTCAGGTAGGGTGCATGTTGGCCAATATAACAAGCATGTTTGGGTGAGGTTCAGCAGTTAGCAATTCGTGATAGGCACTATCCATGTGCTAGCAGGTAGATCAAGTTAGCAATCGCGGGCTGAGAGCAGTAACAGAGGTGGAGGTGAAGAATTTGCAAAACGAATTTTTCGACCTCTGTTCTTTGGAAAGTGGTGTTGCTGTGCGTGGTCTAACTTCGCATAACGCTTCCATTGCGAAGCTGCTTGTTTTATGTTTAGCAAAGATGTCGAACAAGGGGAACTCTGCTCTTACTTGAGGTCCACTCCTGAGTGATTAGGTTAAATCTCCATTCCAGCTTTTTGCTATTGACCTATCATGCTTTCTGGTTGGCCGTATTGCTTCCTACAGAGATACTCAAAAGTATGGACGCAAAAGCCTGATCTCTCCATTTTCTATGTGATCTTGGTAACGGGTTGAAGGGACTTTGATTATCGGTCAAGTCATTAGCTACTCTCTCCCGAACCGATAAGTTGGTGGAATACTAGTGAATTTATCTGCATCTCTTCTGGATTTTAAGGAACCGTATTCTTCATCTGACTGTTGTTCCTATCACTTAAACATTCTAACAATTACTAAGATGGCGTAGCTTGAGTGAACTCACATGTTCGATATTCAGATTCGTTTTTTACTTTATGAGACACCCAACTAAAGTGCGTACCTTAGTCCTGTATGCCCGCAAATCATTCAGTGACGAACCAGATAAAAATGGCGGTATCTCAGTGGAGTTTTGTGTCTGATATCTAATCACAACACCGCACACAACTAATTCCGCGGTGCAGATCAACCCATATAGATCTGCGTCGATCGGTTGAAATGTCCTACCCTGGCCCGTTTTCTTTGGTTAGTCCGGACTCCAAAGCTATCATGCATATGCACACAGTTGTACCTGGTTCGTATTGATTGATTTTCCCTCGACACTGAAGTGGTGTGGCTCAGATTTCGCCTATTTTACTCAGCGTGTGCAGTCTGGTCTAAAGGATTTCATAAACGGATTTTGTGACAGTTGAAGTCAATGCAATTAGGGTTTTGGAACTTGGACTTTGTAAACAACAACAACTGCGTTTAACCAGCTGTACGTCTCATTCTTTGTGGGAACAACATACCAGGAGTACCGGTCAGGGGTTTTGAGTCTGGTGACTGATCGATATTTCCGTATAATTGCTCGTACAATGACCTTTTGTTTAACCTTTGCAGAGCGTTTGTAAGCTCAGTCGAATTTGACCGAGCGACTGTTTTCTGCTGACTGTTTTTCTGACTAAAACGGAGCTTTCATGGTAGGCTTCCCTGCTGATAAAATCGTTTGCGGTTCACACTTGTCTGATGCGACTTCCCGAGAGGGATTTCGTTTGCGTTCTGTTTTCTGCGTCATGTAATAAAACAGAGAGATGTTGAAATTCGATATTTGCTGACAAGCTCGTGACTCAAGCACATTTCAACGTTCCTTCTAACCACATGAAGTAGTTTGTCCTAAGATTTTTTAAAAAAAGTTAAATAAATACAGCATGAGTCCTCGCTTTGCTTTCCAAAGTTTGGTGGAATCAATTTCAAAATAATCTGTATCATCAATGAATAGTTTGTGGCAAGCGAAACCGGTTGTTTCATATGTATCGGTACAGTTTGTAAGTGAAAGAGGATTGTATGTTTTAACGGGGATTTGAGCCTTTTTATCTGGCCTCGTTAAGCTATTTCAGTGAAGGCTATTCGCCACCTTATCGAGCCGAGCAGTTAGTACTTTTAAACTACAGGCCTTGAAATCTGCCACATTACGCCCACTGTTTACTTCAGTCGATCGTTCTAAGCCAAACTGCTATGTGCTTTCCCATCGCGAAACCCAGCCGCATTTAAGTACCAAAGCGATGCAATGTAAAGCAAAACGCAGCCACTTTCATCAACGAGCTTGAAAAATGTCTTGTGTGCAAGTGTTCGAAACGCTGACAAATGAACTGGCTATATACGACCTAAATAGCAAGGCGATAGCTACGCTGGTTTTGGTGTGCGGTTGCTTGCATGAGAACGAAAAACACTGCAAAGATCAGAGGTGTCTTGATGGACACAGTTGAACAGTTCAGCAGCGTAGCTAATCTAGAAGTCTAGTTAGCCGAGCTCATTTGGTATGATTACTGGGAGGATTGATGAATACAGATTCCGTGTTCGGTAAAGAACTTTTTTTTTTTCTTTTATTTCTGTCTTGTTAAGACATTATGTCGAATGAGAAACATCAGCGGGAAGGCAAGAAGCCACATCACGCCGATCGATCGGATCGAAGATATGTTGCTGTGCTTCAAGGTCAGGAACTAATAGTGCAAAATGTACTGTTTCAGAAGTGCTTTAGGGATGAAGTTCTATGAACAGGTATACGTCTAATTTCCGATAGCAACACGGGTCACTGCTTCGTGTACATGCTGATTGTCAAATACTTACTTGCATTTTTATCGAATACTAAAGCTGTATCTTCCACCCACAGTTGCGTAACATCCGTCACGGGTTCGATGGCCACCGAAACACAAGATATCGGACCCGACATGTGTGAAACTCGATCATCTTGTGGTCGATCACTTCAAGGTCACCCGCCCAAGTAGGCGGACTAATAAACCACTACTAACTCTTGAATGTTGGTCAAGTGAGCCATCGGATTCACCGGTCAAACTATCATGAACCGATAAAACGTAGTTATCTGGATATGAAAAGTCATGTGATGAGTTGGGATAACTCTGGTTAACTGGATAATGCCTGACCAGGCATCAGTTGATTCATTTATTCGGTGGTTGTCTGGTTGGTTCTTTACATCCAAACTGTTCTAGCTCAATTAGTTAGACTATGATAAACCGCTGAGAATTCTAAGGCTACATTTATCTTGTCCATAATTTTAAACTTCCTATCACATTTCCGAGCCCTAATAAATAGTACAGGTCAGGTGTTACCACTTCTCTTCGAAATGGACACGGGATGAAAGAACAACCAATGGAACCGCCCGACGGAATAACTAATCGCGGTCAAAGGTCATCCTCGGCTACCAGCACGTATATCAACACACACGTAACACTACTGAACGCACAACCACTAACCCACCGCTACGCACAACTACGCACTGATGATGTCACCTCGATTGGTGATGAAACGTTTGCAACCAAATTGCCCAGCTCAGCGAACAAGCCAACGACCATCTACGCTACCTGAGCTACCGACATTCCCCCCTATGGATTTATTGTCTCCAAACTGTTCCAAAAAGGCTATAACCTGACTTGGGAAGAAAAATATCAAGCTCCCAAACTTCCGAATTTAAACTGACAGCATCAACAAAGTCGATGTTAGACGTAACACACTGTTCATAAGTTTGCTGAAAGCTCTTCGACAGCCCACGATCGGTTTCGCCCTTCCACTTCGGGCTCATCGGGCCGGCGCAGTCCCCGAGTTTCTGTCAATTTTACGTTCTACTTGAGTCCAAATTGCACGAAATTCGAATAATAGACTCATCTGCATACCGATTTGGTCAATGTCACTTAGTGAAAGGACACAATCAATAAAGAACCGACCAAATAATCGGTGTAGCACATCAGTCAATAACAGACTGATTATACGCGATTGGTGGACACACACGGCGCACTGTTCGTCTTTGGTGTGTTTGCTTTCTAATGTAAATGGAGCTTTACCTCACATAAAGGTAACCTTATATGTCCCACACTAGCTTCGTGGATCAATTCTGTGGGTTTTGCTCACAGGTTGTATTCGTATTGTCTGCTCTCGCGGCTTTTTGGAGGATGCCGGCCACCGAAAGGCGCTCATGTTTTTTTACAGGTTTTGCACCTTCACAAACAGGTTTGTTGTCCTTATTGTAAGCAGACAGCGCCCTACAATTGCTTTGCACGTACCCTTGAGAATCGGCTCAGTGGTTCTAGGGTCTCAGAAAACGATACGGAAACGTTCGCAATATAGAAGCAAGGTGGAGGCATGAGAGAATCGTAAATTTAGTCGTAGCCAACGAAGAAAGTTGTTGTGGACTCTTCAGGAGGTTTGTTTACCTCTTGCTTCCCTAAACCAATTTTCGTTAATTTGGGAACCGTCCATCTGGCCTTATTGAGTGGTTGAACAGTGAAGTGTTCTGTCTAACTTTATGGTACCACTTTCAATGTACGAATTTCAGTATCTCATCTAACAGAGGAGCCCTCGGGTAAGCGAATCATTGAACACTTACGAAGCGAGTGTCCCCTCTTGGGACCATTTCATATCCATTTTGTGCTACGCTGATGCAATTTTTGCCGCCCTAATATATTTAGAAGCTTCGGTCCGTGTACAGTGAAATTTTCTTGACCCTTGAGGGAGCACGTGATTCATTGATCCGATA